TTTTTTTTTTTTTTTTTTTTCTCTGTAAATCTTAAACCAAATCTCATTTAGAAGGGGTGCATGTAGTGCTGTTAAATTAAATGAGCTTGACTCAGTTTGGCTTGTTAAAATTCTAGTTCGAAGCCTTACGAGTCAAGTTTGAGCTCATTTAAAGACAAGGTTCGAAAAAAAAAAAATTATATAATTTTTTTATAGTTCGGTTCGTTAAAACTCGAGATCGGCTTGTTAAGACACGAGCTCGGAGAATTAACGAGTCGAGCTCGAGTTTGAACACCCTAAACTCGAACTCGGCTATACTCATTTACAGCTCTAGGTGCATGTCCAACTATTGAGTTCATTTGGCTATGATAGTACTATCATTAAGACATGTTTAATTGAAATACTTATAAATTTTGTGTCTATAGATTATTCCCGGCAAAAGCAGCTATTCACGGCTTGCTTGTATATAAATTAATTTACTAACTTTTATTTCAACTCAAAATTTAACTCAGTTTTAACTAGAGATGTTAAACGGGCTAGCCCTAGCGGTTTCGGGCTAGCCCTAGCGGGTTTCGAGTTAAACGGTCCGGGCCTAAAAAGTCCAGATTTAAACGGGCTACCAAAAAAGGGACCTAACCCTAGCTCTAGCGGGCTTTGGGCTAAACGGACTATGCTGACTATAATAATAATAATAATAATAATAATAATAATAAATATTCAAAAATAAAAAGAGTAAAAAATATATAAAAAAATAACAACGGCAAGTTAAAAATTGTTTTCAACGGCTATTTAGTATTTACCGCCTATTACTATGTTTTATGTGTTTCTTATTAGTCGTTCTGAATGACTTAAATATTTTCATGAACTACAATAACAATATTATTAATAATTATCTTTCAAAATCATAATAATTCATTACAACTCATACTTACATGTGAAGTGGAAAACCAAAATTGTAATATACAAGTAATTTAAGAGCATATTACTTACTTGATGCAAACATTTACACCGCCCAACCCTAGTTAAACGGGCCAGCCCTAGCGGGTTTCGGGCTAGCCCTAGCGAGCTTCGGGCTAAACGGTCCGGGCTTAAAAAATTCTTGATTTAAACGGGCTACCAATAAAAGGACATAACCCTGTTTTTTTTCGGGCTAAACGGGCCGACCGATCGGGCCAAAGACCATTTAACATCTCTAGCTTTAACCCAACCCCACTATTTTTAATATTATTCATATAATTAAATAATAAACACCAATCACATCAACTTTAGTTCACTATTCATCCATTCACATAATTTTAACTACGTATCATTCTCAATAATTTATCATCAAATCAATTTTCCTCATTTTATTTTAAAAATTATTTTAACACATTCTTAAAATTTCACTACCACTAATCATACCATCATTTTTAAAGTTAACTATAATTAATCAAAATAACTCATTTTGAACAAATAATTCATAATCAACGAAGCCCTATACCAGCCGCACTCACTAATTAAATTATTCCTTAATTATAATTAAATTAATTAATTAGCTGTCCACTGCACCCAAATCCTCCCTCTTCTCCTATAAATACCCCCATTTTTCTCCTTTGTGACCTTCTTTCCGCAAACCTCAGAAAGCTTCTATAAGGTTAGCATTTCTTATCTCATTGCTTTTCATTTCCTTTGCATTTTTATTTATTTATTTTTTTTTAAGTCTGTTTATCTTGTTCTTTTGCTTTTTTATTTTTTATTTTCGTTTTCTAGTTTTTGCAATCCATGTATTTTCTTTTATCGTTTTTACGTGGTTCTGTTTCTTTTTAATTAATTATGCAATGGATTGATTATGTCGTGTTTCGAATTGCTGTTGATTGATAGTTGAAAAATTTGGTGTTCGTATCTGCAGATCATTTGTCATCCCCGACAGATTCTTGAATCCCGATTACAGATCTAGGGTTTAACACACAAATTTGTGAATTGGAATTCCAAAAATTCAATTCCATGTTCGGGTTTTTATGACGTTCCATATTTTTATGCGCCGGATTAGGATCCTCCACTCCTTCTCAGTCGTATTCCTGTACTGGTTCTATGTGTTTTCATGAACTAGCTCTCAAACCCTAAGATTCAATCTCATCCCCAATTCTTTTCTGTTACCCAATTTCTACTCTAATTTCCTCCAATTACAACCAAGAAACAAACCCTAATTTAGTATTTGCAAGTACCCGAACTCCCCCGAATCGAAATGTCTTCAAAGCCACAGCAGGCGAGCTCAAGCTCCGACCTAGACGAACGCAAGAGAAAGAGGAAGCAGTCTAACCGCGAATCTGCCCGAAGGTCCCGAATGAAAAAGCAACAACGCTTGGATGAGCTTGTTGCTCAGGTGAGCCAATTGCAGGAGGAGAATAAAAAGGTGATGCAGATGATTGATGGGGCCACACAGCTTTACATCAATTTTGCATCCGATAATAATGTGATGAGAGCCCAAGTGTCTGAGTTGACCGATCGACTCCACTCGTTGAATTCCGTGATTCAGATTGCTTCGGAGGTGAGCGGATTGGCATTTGAAGTTCCTGATATTCCTGATATCCTGCTCGAGCCGTGGCAGATGCCTTGCCCGGTTCAACCTATCCCAGCAAATGTTGATATTTTCGAGTTCTGATTGGAAATGGCTCTTTGATTTTCATGTGGCGGTGTATGTGTTGGGTGGATCTCAGTCGGGACGTTTTTTAGGTATTGATGGTTTTGAGCTATTGCCTATCTGCTATGACGATATTCAAGGTTTATGGTTTTAGGGTGTTAACTGTGTGGTGGTTTGAGTTCTAAGGGTTTCAGTTGTGTTTGCTTTTATGTTTGATGGATTTCTTGTGTTTGTTTCATGGTTGGTTCTGTTACATAATAAACTCATCTTTGATGTATTGCTCAATGGTATTAGTAAATTATGTATTGAAACGTACGATTGTCGATTATGTCTGGAAATTATATCTATTGTTCGTTTAAAATTTCTGCTAATGGAATTGCATTATCGTGATCTTCATCTATGTCAAACTTTTGCTAGAAATCTATGTTGAGTTTTGACAATACCCAATATTATATGAGCAGCTTGATTCCTTTTTCCTACTATCATTGAGTAAACATTGCTCGTACATAACTTATATCTTTCGCATACAAATATCAAGTTGCTTTTAACTTCAATATGAAAAATTTATTTCAAATCCTAATATCCATAGCATCTAAAAAAGTACCAACAAAGGCTTAAAGGAAGATTACACGATTTCTAGTGCGAATCAAAACTATATTGTATAAGTTCAATGGGCCAAAGCTTCAAGTTTCCTCGTTATACAATCACAGTAACAACATCCAAACATTACATAAAAATCGACACCCCCAAATTAAACCGAAACCATAATCATCATCTCAATTGTCGTACGTGCGGCACTCGTCGGTCTCCGGGTTGTCCTTGCAGTAGTTCTCGAGCGGGTCGGCCTCCTTCTGCCGGTCCCTGGCGTGGCTGGCCGCTGCGCTCAGCTCCTC